GCCTACTAAAGAAGAATGGTTGTTAAAAATGAATGAACTAGTAGAGACAGACAAACTTGTCTACTCAAATAGGGAAAAGTTGTTGACAAACTTTTTTTAAAGGATTGGAAACCCTTGATTCACTTTTTGAAAAATAATGGAAGGTGATAAGTTAACCATTGATTTCAAAGGTTTGTATAAATTATTTTTATTTATTTTTATTTTATTTCAAGGATTTATATCCCACTTTTCTCCCAGAACAGGATTCTCCCACAAGGGAAATTAAACCAATAAATGAAGTGCAACAGTTATTTTATAGAGAGTGAGACAGTATTTTAGGAACTATTATAGAAAAGATAGTTGAAAGTCACTCTTTGTTAGATTATCTAGCAGTGTAGTCCTATTTTAGTTATGTGTGTTTTAGTTTGTATTTTGTTGAATTGTTGTTTTAGTTTGCATGTTTTATGTATTCTATTTAAATTTTAGTGTATGTAGAACTAAAAAAAAACTTGTTCCTAGTGGAAATGGAAAACCACTAGAACTAGTCAGTTTATGTGCATCAACATAAACTGCCTTGATTTCTGAACTATTTTTGGAAGTGTTGCTACAGGGACTATCATGTGGAGAGCCTATACTTAAAATTTACCATTAACCAGTAATGTCTATGCTGTCTGGCAGTAGCCCCCCAGGATCTTTGGCAGAGTTCTGCTCTGCCCTGCAAGATGGTAGTTTCCATATCAGTGGACTTACAGTCAAAACTTTAAGGGAGCTATTCAATGTGCTAAATTCTAAATCCAAAATAGGTTCTGCAAAGTGGGACACCTGCTCTAAAATCCAGAGTAAAATCCAGAGGGGATCCATCATTTCACTGACATAGGAAGCTCTAGCTGCTAGTGCTTCATGACACCTACTTCCTTAACTAGAGATGCCAAAAACTAAACCTGGCACCCTTGGCATGGAAAGCATGTGCTGCATCAATTAATTTGATCTCCCCCCAACTAATCAAAATATATGTTCCCAAACAGGGTGTCTGGAAACATTCCTTTACTGTTGGCTCTCTTCTGTCCTGCTGGATGTGCAGTAACAAAAAAGAAACTCCTTGGCCCACTAGAGATGCCAACATACAGCACTCTCTGAGTATATGCTCTCAGAAGTAGCTTATTGTAATAGAGTACGGAAGCACCAATTCAGTTAAGTATTGCCAATACACTGGCCACACTTGAATAAACTCACAAACACTTGTTGATATCTTCCAAGTCCTTATCTTCCAAGTTCTTGTATGTTTTTTTATCATTAGTTGCAGTATTTACAAATATGTACAAACACTCCTCATGACTCCCATCAACTTACACCGTCTGTTATAATACAGCTACAGTCCAACCATCAACAACCCACTCTCTCCAAACTACTATCATCAACCCACACATGCACTGAGTCTCAGTGCAGTCATATAGAGAGTTGCTTAATGGTCATCACCTGTTGCTGCTTAACATATGCAATATTTTGTATGGCTCAGATTGCTAAGTCACAGCACTTGACATGATACAAAGGTTTGCAAAAGGGATTGCATCATGTCAAGTGCTGTGACTTAGCAATCTGAGCCATACAAAATATTCTAACCACTGTTTATAAAAGAACGTTGTTCTAACTTTTACATGACAGCCAAGCTAACTGGGGAATCTGCAAATTGTAGTCCCAAAAGGGATCATTTTCTACGTCATGCCCAAATAGTGGTAAAGGCAATCAGCAGGTGCTCTAACTATTGCACAAGAATAGAGAAACCTCTCATTCCTCTGGTGCCCGTGATTTACAGTTTTATTTTAGCTCTGTCTTGAGTAAAATTATTTTTGCTTCAGAATTAGCCACACTGAAAGCACCAATTTCTCCCAAAGTCCCACAGTTTCTAAAGATCAGATATTACTCTGCATCTTACAAAAGAGGTTAGATACATTTATGTAACTGGCAAAGTGCTGCTGATTCATACCAATTATTTTATGCAATGGTGGGGAAAATTGTCAGAGAAATAATTCCCCCCTCCCCACCTGGCACCATTCAGAACACTCTCCTTCCTTAACTCTGTTCCACAGTTGGTTTCCTATCATAACAATAAGTAAAACACAAAAACATAAAAAGTTGCTGGATTGAAGCCAAAAGCCATGAAGTTCTTTGGATCTGCACAGAAACAGACTGCTTGCAATCAGTACTGAAGATAAGTCAGGGCAATGTGTTTATTAAGGAAACTGAGAACTTTATCACACCAGGTGTAAAAAGTTAAATTGGAGCAGGATCATTGTGCCTGTGGCCATACTTTATCACATGGCACTGTGTCTGTCCAGTAGCTGGTCTATAGCCTGTCGGCTGTTGGAGTGCTCCTTTTCACTGGCAGGCAAAACCTGTCAATGCCTCCCAACCAAGCTGCTTTTTCACTATTGAGACAGTTTGATACATTCCTACCAAAGCAATTCCAATAAGCAAGCAGTCATGTTGTATGAGTGGATGTGATTTTGCTCCTCTTTCCTCCCTTCCCTCATTATTCCCAAGTAGGATGTTTTTGTTTTTTTAAAAAATATTTTCTTTATTTATTTTTACCTAATGTATTATAATGAGCATGCAATTGCACTCAAAATAAATAAATATAAATATGGACAGAAAGACATGCTGGGAAGGGCACAGGGAAGGGAGTGGGACTATGGACACCAGCATGAGCAAGTCAGGGGTCAGACAGAAACAACACCATCACACTTTTGAAGAGTTGTGTAATTATGATTGTCCCCAACCTGGTATGTTTGCATTTGCTAGATTAATGGGATTCTAGTGCCCTACCAGCCTAACATGATAAAGTCATTACTATGAATCTATCTAGGCCCTGGGATCCTCAGGAGAGGCCCTTTTCTCAGTCCCATCACCTTCACAGGCATGGCTGGTGGGGACATGAGACAGAACCTTCCCATTGTCTGTCTTGAGGCTCTTGAACTTCTTTCCCAAGAAGTCCAAAAAAGTCCTTCCTTGCAGTCCTTCTGTTGGAAGGCAAAGACTTTTTAAAAAAAAAAACAAAAAACATCCAACATGCTTTTAGAACTGAAGGTTTTAAAATAAAGAGCTTTAGAGGGCACTGTATTGTTTTTAGTGAACCATTTTCCATTGCATTTCCTCCTTTTTAGGTATACAATTTAATCTGTATACCGAAAGGTGACCAAAGACGGTGAAAGATCTGGATACTATGCCCTATGAGGAGCGGCTTAGAGAGCTGGGTATTTTTAGCCTAGGTAAGAGAAGGCTGAAAGATGGCACAGATAGCCATCTTTATACCGTATATCTGAAGGGATGCCATTTAGAAGACTTAAGTCTACTTCTTCAAATGCAGTCTATGAGAGCTCATTCTGCTAACTTCTTTCTTTTGGTTAGTCTCAAAGGTGCTACATACATTTTCTCTACATACTGATTCTACAGACTAACATGGCTATATCTTTGAACAGCACCATGAATAGTTCCTTTAGAGTTCAGATTAAAATCTAGAGTGGATGTGCCTTTCTAGCGACATCAGAATCACCAGCCTCCTCTGGCTTGCTTGTAGAGGACAAATTGAAATTAGTTTGAAGGTTTCATTTCTGGTCTTACCATTTATAGTCAGCAATAAAAAGCAGCTCTAGGTCTTAGGTTGTTGTCCTCAGAGCCAGGAAAAGTTACTTATTTGGGGACTATAATTCCAGTAGCCATGCTGTTTGATTTTCTGGGAGAGGCATTCCAAAAACGCAAGTTTTCCGTGCTGTGGTGATGGCAGCAGTTTGCATTATAGAATATTTATCAGGACTCAAAACAGGATAATAGGCATGAATACATTCTTCTTAGTGAGAAGTTTATTGTACGAAGAATGTGTCTTCTTTTCAAACAAAATATCTCTCCTTCCTGCCACCGGTACCCCAACGCTTTCTCTAAGCTGGTTTCATTAAGAAGTTATTCATCAGCTTCCGAAATTATCTCCTTCTCCCTCCCTTCTTCCCTCTCATCAAATGAAATACTTCACTCCCATGGAGTCCATTTGTTTTTACCTCCCAGTGGCATTCATTCTCAGTTCTCACCACCTCTTTTTGCTTTTTTCAAAACTCTAATTCTGTGACTCATTCCTTCTGCAATACAAACAGGCTCTATTTTTTACCTTTCTTCCCCCTCTTGGAAAAAAAACCCCTTCCCTGGAGAACAACTTGCCTTTAAAAAAATAAAATGCTGAACCTCTTCCCATCTTTCCATTTTTCAAAATGGCTGGAATTGCCCGGCACACAATCCAAAGGAATTTAAGTGCACAGCTGATTCACACATGCACTTGGTGACTCACCACTTGATGACTGGCAGCTGAGCCTGGATCTCCTTATGTAGCACAATTATTTTGGGTGGGTTGGAGGATGATCAAGTGGGTTGCACCATTTCAGGATGTATTGGGGGTGAGGTGGGATCACTATTTTAAAATGTTCCCTTGCATAAAAGGAACTATATGAAAAGAGAAAGCTAGCACCTCTGTGAAAGAGAGGCATTATGCATGATGTGCTAGATTTCTTCTTGCAGGGATATGTTGATTTGAATAGAAAGGTACTAACAGTGGAATACATAGCACAAACACATATTTAGTGCAGTCCTAATTGCTAAAATGAGCTGACACTAGATTGCATCTACACTGTAGAAATAATGCAGTTTGATGCCACTTTAACTGCCATAATTCCATTCTATAGATTCCTGGGATTTGTACTTTTGGGGGGCACGAGCACTCTTTGGCTGTGAAGGTTAAAGACCTTTGTAAACACAAAATCCCACGATTCTATAGGATGGAGCTACAGCACTTAAAGTGATACCAAACTGCATTATTTCTACAGTGCAGATGCACCCTAGTTCAGCTAAAACGATGCTAAATGCCTAGAGATTTTGGAAATTATTCAGAATTAGTGTAGCCATGGTTTAACACTGTGCCAACACTGTAACTGTATGCCTCAGCTGGAAGAAATTTGGATCTGTTATAATTCATCTTGCCAGCCAGTGTGGCGTAGTGGTTTGAGTGTTGGATTACAAGTCTGTAGACCAAGGTTCAAGTCCCATCTCTGGTCAAGCAACCCACTGAACATGGGCAAATCACACTCTCTCAGCCTCAGGGGAAAGCAATGTCAAACCTCCTTGGAAGATCTGTGAGATCAGAAAACATAGGCTTATGCTTAATCCTAACACTTGCAGTGGGCATTTCTTTGAATTATGATTGAACAGCCTGTAAGACTACCATAGTAGCCATGAGGCTGGATCCCAATCTTTAGCTTTCACGTAAGAAAATGAAAAGAAAAAGATCTAGAAATTTTACTTGTGGAGACTAAGGACTAAGCATGCAAGAGCTTGTTTACTCAAGGAGTTTTTCTAAGAATTAAAACTGTTGATTAATGTTAAAAATACTCAGTTCTTTGCATGTTTATTCTGGTTGATCCACTCCCCCTTAGGTACTCAGAACTGTTACTGTTGTTCTTGTTATAGCCCTGCTGAAATGGCACAGTCCACCATCACATCAAGATTCTCATCATCAGATACTGCTCCAAGTGATAACAGCATGACTGCGTAAATGCACTCATTTTGAAGGCATGGACTTATTTCAGATGTTACAGGTTGCTTGGTCAAACTGTCTTCTCTTTGTTCAGCCATTAAAACTGTAGAGTGGCATAATAGACATTTTAAAGAAATATGTTATTGTGTTATTGCTCTTTTAAGTCTTTAGGTCTCAATTTTATTGCACCTTCTGGGTTTTAATATGGAAAATTTTAAATCACTTTGGAACTTTTGGAAGGAAAGTCCAACAAAAATGCCTTCATAAAGAAATAAGTGTTTTTAAAAGGGGAATGTTACATTCAGCTTCTTGGTGTTCATTATTTTCATCCTCCAGTCTATCCAAGTAGACAGAAAAATATATGAAAATAGAAAGCTAGCACCTTTTTGAAAGAAAAAAAGCATTATGCATGATGTGCATTCTACTTGCAGGGGTATATTGGTTTGAATGAAAAAGTATAAGTGGAAACTATATGAAAAGAAAAAGATAGCACCCTTTCTTGAAATATAGCTTTCACATGTTCTAGAAGATGAATATCCACAATGTCAATGTGTGTCTACAAATAACTTCTAGGAAACAACCTGACTATTCTCACTAGTTTCTACCCACAGAAAATGTATTTATCAACCATGGGAAAGTTGTTTTTTGACTACAGCTCTGATAATTCCTTGCTTCAGCTGTAGAGAGACTGAGAAATATTTCTGCTGATCCAGTAAGTGTGCTATTTAATTTAAATAAAATAAAGAACTATACACTCAGAACTGTGGATGTGGTGGCTTAGTGGTTAAGATACCAACTCTGACAACTGGAAGATCAAAAGGTTGGCAGTTCAAGACCTGGGTGCTGCATGATGGTGTGAGCTCCTGTCATTAGTTCCAGCTTCTGCCAACCTAGCAGTTTGAAAGCATGCAAATGCAAGTAAATAAATAGGTACCACTTTGGTGGGAAGGTAACAGCATTCGGTGCAGTCATGCTGGACACATGACCACCAGAGTAGTCCTCTTACAATGCTGGCTCTTTGGCTTAATAATGGAGATGAGCAGCGACCACTACAGTCAGTTATGACTAGACATTCATGTCAAGGGACTACCTTTACCTTTAGACTCAAGAACTAGGGATGTGCTGCTTTAAACTATTTGTTCCTGCAAGGGAGAATGAATTATTTAACTCTCACTCACATTTTTTCGTGCTGTCCTGTCCACACACACACATGTAACTCACTATGAGTCCCAGTTTTGGGGAAAGGGCAGAATATAAATGATGATGATGCAGAAACTGGTGGCAGGTTGGCAGGAAAAACTTGTGTTGTTGCTTGCCTTCAAGATGTTTCTGACTTATGGTGACCCTATCATGGGGTTTTCTTGATTTGTTCAGAGGAACGTTGCCTTTGCCTTTCACTGAGGCTGAGAGAGTGTGACTTGCCCAGGCTCACCCAGTGGGTTTCCATGGCTGAGCAAAGATTTGAGCCCTGGTCTTCAGAGGTGTAGTCAAAGTTCAAATCACTGCAGAACACTGGCTCACAAGAAAGAAGCTATAGTCTTCTACAATCTTTACTTGGCTTCCACCTGCCTGCAAGGTACATGCTCAGCTCTCCCTGAAGTTGCAGGACATAGGGTGGAGCAGCTGACCAAGGAGGCTCATCCTTGCTGTTTGTATTCTGATATCTGGTTCACAACAGTGCAGACATCATCACCATGTGCTAGCTATGAGAATGGTCTGCAATAATATTTCTCATGTTACTTTCTTGAAAGCCAATGGTGTCACAAGGGTTGGCATCACCTGATGCAGTAACTCATGGCGTCACCCCCACCACTGACCTCCTCCCACACAGTACCATACAGAATCCTTCATGTTTTTTGAACTAATGTTACTCATAAATCATAATTCCTGGATATTACTGAATGTGATTGTAATAGTTGTGATATAAAAAAAACTAGCAAAATTAAAATTATGCCTCTTAATTGCAATTTCATATGCATAACCTTAATGTATTTACATGTACATAGTTTCATGCGGCTAAAGTGAAAATTTGGTAAGATGTGATGTTTAAGAAAATTTTAAAAGTGTGTGTGTGCATTCTTTTAAATTTTTCTGAAACATTACATCATATATATATATATATATATATATATATATATATATATATATATATTACATTATATAATATATTCCTTTCTCCTCACCACTGATCTTGGCCCCACTCACACCATCTCTTCTGCTGAGCTCTAGCATTTTAAAGGGCTGCAGATAACTGGTACAGCCCAATTCTGCCACAATGCAGATGTCTGGAGCTCAATGGTGTCACCCCCTCTTAGGATGTCACCTGGTACCATCCTTACCCCCCACATTTCCTTAGTGACTACCCTGCTGAAAGCTAGTACATGGCTGTGTTGTGGCAGTGGGGGAGAGGAATGAGTGAGTCTGAGTTGGGCAAGTAAGAGTAATCCTCAAATCTGTTTGAGGACAAGAGAAAAACAAAGTGGCTTGAGGATGAAAAAAACATGAAACCTTGTTGGGGTTCGCAGACACACCAAAAGTCTCTTTCTAGTGCTTTTAAAACTTCCAATATTATTTCCATTTCTACACAGGACTAAAAGTAATTTTTCTTACACTATTTTCAAAGTTGAATCATGGGCTTCCAACTTACCAGGAGTTTCTTTTGCTCGTTACAAGAGGGTACTGGAGGGCAGAGTTAAAGGGTACTATACTTTTCTGTGCCCAGCAGTTAGTTTTCTTCCCAGGGAGCCCTGTGGCAAGCAAAAGCTTGCTGTAAATGGCTGGAAAATGGAGATTGGCTGGCTGGAGGCAGACTCCATGACACACATTGGAAGATGACACCTTCACTTCAGTCCAACTGGAAAGCATGGAAGTATTCCCTGATCATCACACCAGCCAGTCTTCTTTTGACCAAATTCCCCAACTCCCTCCCTTGATTTAAGCTATACATGTGGATTCTAGTGTAGCCATGTCCTATTGTAGGTTGCTAATTCTAATATGAGGAGGCTTTATCCTTGTCACATTCTCTGGGGTAGCAGTTTGGGCACTAAACTGGATGATTTTGGGTTAAATCAAGACTAACGTGCCTGTTTCACCCCTTTGGGGGAGAGCTTTCAAGATCTTAGGGTCTGAGACATTGGAACAAGCCCAGCTCATGGGGCTATCATCACTGCTTAACATACAGGTGAAGGGGAATGGGAATCATACAGTGGCTTCTGCCCATGTGAATCCCATTCAACAGGTCTCCCACCAGTAGGTGGGCTGGGAACAGGTGTCATTGGACAGTAATCAGGTTGCCTGATGGTTTGATCCATCCCCTGTGTTGTCCCAAGGCTCCAAGAGCAGTGATCAATAAAGCTGTGGTCATTTCAACTCCAGCTTTGGGCAGCATCCTGCTAATGACATAGGTGCATCTCAGTGGGGGCTTATGCATGCATATCTCTCTCTTGCTGAATAGACCAGATGGGCTATTCTCTAGTATAGCCCTTTCTTTCTTGTCCAAAACCTCTCCTGCAGCAGCTGTCAAACCCTGGTAGGGGCTTTTTCTGCAGCTGTTTCAAACTGGTGGGAGGGAGGTCGGTAATTCAGATCAGTGGCATCACTAGGTTCAGTGCCATCCAGTGTGGTAACTCACGGTGTCTCCCCTCCACTGACCTCCCTCCATACCACACCATACAGAATCCTTAGCTGTGTTTTCTGTACTCATATTACTCATTAATCATAATTCCTGTGTATTACTGGATGTAATGTAAAATGGCTCAAGGGATTAAGACTCTGTTGATTGCAAGATCAGCAAGTTGGCAGTTCGAGGCCCAGGTGCTGCATGGTGGGGTGAGCTCCTGTCACTAGTCCCAGCTTCTGCCAACTTTGCAGTTCAAAAGCATGCAAATGCAAGTAGATAAATAGGTACCACTTTGGTGGGAAGGTAAACAGCATTCTGTGCAATTATGCTGGCCCCATGATTAGAGTAGTCTCTGACAACGCTGGTTCTTCAGCTTAGTAGCGGAGATGACCACCACCCCCTACGGTCAGACACGACTTGACAACCTTGTCAATGGGGGATGCCTTTACCTTTTTTACCTTTAATGGTGATAGCTGTGACAAACAACTAGCAAAATTCTAATTATACCTTTAAATTACAATATCATATACACAACCTAAATGCACTTACATATACATCATTTCATGTGGTTGAAGTGAAAATCTGATAAAACATGATGTTTTTAAAGAATGGACCTCCCCTTTCTGCTCTCACTAAACCTCACCCCACTCACACCATCTCTTCAGAATTTGAAAGGGACACAGGTAAATGCCACAGCCTGTTTCTCCCAAAAAGGAGATGTTTTGGGAGCAGTAGTGTCACCCCCCCCTTAGGATGTCACTTGGTGTGGTCCACACTCCCTGCACCCCCTAGTAACACCACTGATTCAGATTATAAAGATGAGGCTGATCTGGGCCCTGAAGGGAAAGAAAAGGAAGGTGCACTTCATCTGTGAGCTAATCCTAATTTCTTCACCACCCCCT